ATGCACGGTAGCTTTCACATGAAGAACAATGGACATTCTGGTATGAATTCTTTGATTAAATATACTTCTTTTGATTGGGAGATTTACACTTTTTATTTATTTACTTTTAAATCAGTAGGCTCAGGTGTATACACCTTAAGCTTTGTCGCCATCTCGTGTCAAAAATACTTAGGCCTGTCTATTTTGAAATAACAGAGCATCTTTGCAGTTTCTGTCTGTATATAATGCATGTTTCCTTACCTTACTCTATTTAATCTTCACAGGTTAGGTTAGCTTTCCATGAATATAGCCCACAATCCTGTTTGTTTTTGACAGTGGAGATTCAGCTGCCACAGACTATGAAGATTACCAAGGGGTTTCCAGACCAATACACTGCTGTCCAAATGCATCTGCACTGGGGAGGCTGGGACTTGGAGGCCAGTGGATCAGAGCACACAATGGACGGCATCCGCTACATGGCAGAAGTACATCGTTCACTTAGGCCTGACACCTGAACACATAAATAACATTTGGAGATGTCCTAGTTGTAAATATAGCAGTGGTGCATTTTCAAGGCATTGTTTTCTTTAGTGACTGTAGGGCTGGGGACTATCCATTCAAGTGCTGTCTGAAATTTTAATATGTTGGGATCTATTTTTAGACAAATATGCAGTTATCTTTGTTCTAACTGAATTAGAAATAGTATTCTTGTATTTGACTTGCTCAAGAATATTGAGAAACTTTAGTATAGCAATAAGGAAGAGCTTGTTTGTGTAACATAAGTTTGAACTTCTCATTACTCCATTGCAGTTTTTAACACTTTTATGTTTGACTTCTTCTTGTGTCACAGCTCCACGTGGTCCACTACAACTCTAAAAAGTACAGTAGCTTCCAAGAGGCCATAGATAAACCAGAAGGCCTTGCAGTTTTAGCCTTTTTCTATGAGGTATTGGCTATTTATGATTTTTCATCTGGTTGGAAAGTGGAATAATGTTTGTATTTATTTATTCATTCATTTATTTTGGTGCAATGCTGCCATCTGATGGGAATAAGGGACATGAAATTATCTTCAAATAACTACAGATTTTTTTTTAAATGTACATTTTTGTCTGTGTGAATCTTCTTTAAAGAGCTGGGCTGTGCACCATATTACCCTACATTGCCTGAAGCACACAGCTTGAGCAAAGTTAGACATCTGCGTTCTCTGAACTTAATGGGTTAATTGATTAGACCGCTGTGTGGTGGCCTACTGCCTGACATTCTGTTCCCACAAGATTGTGTGCCGGTCACAAGCTCCCACTTCCAATAAATGGGGGAGGTCACTGTTTTAGTAACACAACAATTGGCGTTCTGTTCAGTTGGATGTCTTTCTCTGCAATGGCTTGGGTAATAGCTGGGCTTTTAATAATGATCAATAGTGTGTCCAAACCACTACATAATGTTGTATCTCAATGTTTACACCTGAATGGCTTAAGGAACTTCACATCTACATAGATAGTTTAATAGTAATTAACAACATGGCACTAGTTTAATAAGTAAATACTGTTATTTTATGTATTTATTGTTATTTACCGTTATTTTAGTTTTCAACACCACATTCAGTTTCAACTAATTGTAAAAATAATTATATATATATATATATATAGTATATATATATATATATATATATAATATACAATATTATATATATATATATATATAAATATATATATATATAAATGATTTTGACAAGTAAGACATGTTCCTGGATCATGTTTTGTTGATCCTGGAACAGTATTCCTCTCCAAATCATTGTCCTAATGCTATTTCTAAAATCAGAGAGAAATAATCTGTGAATAAGAATGTGTGGAAGCCCCTAAGCCTTGTTGCAAGACTAAACTTGACATTAACTGTAAACCGATCCCTCAAATCTGACTGCTTGTTTGGAATGTTGTTCCAGGATCAACAATGACGTTGTTATATATATGTATATATAATTGTGTATTATATAAAATCAAATATAGTGTTTTGCATGTAGCAGGATATTTGATATATGGATACTTTGTGTTATAGGATGGCCATTTTGAGAACACGTACTACAGTGATTTTTTTGCAAACCTGGCAAACATCAAGTATGCAGGTAATGCAAAACATTTTGGATGAGCATCTCAAAAACTTTTAATTCTATGTGGCTCCTGCGTCTTGTCTATGCACTTCTTTTCTGTATTTTTTTTCTCTTGCTCTTTGCAGGTCAGGCCATGAATATCAGTAACTTGAATGTACGCTCCATGCTCCCAGAGAACCTCAGTCACTTTTTCAGATATGAGGGCTCTCTCACCACACCGCCGTGCTACGAGAGCATTCTGTGGACAGTATTTGAAACTCCTATCACCCTCTCTCACAATCAGGTGCCTTAAAAAGTTCTCATGAAATAGTTTTCGATCTTTTTTGCTGTTTCCTGAACTTTTAATGCGATGACCTTCAGATCAGGAAATTGGAGAGCACATTAATGGACCATGAAAATAAGACCCTGTGGAACGACTACCGCATGGCCCAGCCTCTGAATGACAGAGTCGTGGAGTCCTCTTTCCTCCCACGCCTGGGCAAAGGAGGTTAGGGCAGAGCTTCATCCTTTCTAGCAGTTACAAAAAACTCTCTTTGTTAGGACTGCAGTGCCTGAGTATATTTTCTCTCTCTCCTCTTTGGTTTCTTGCAGCATTTTGCCGTCAAGAGGAGATTGAGGCTAAGCTTAAAAGGATTGAGAGCCTCATTGTGTCACTGGACAAAAAAACGGTTCCAGGTATAACTTTTCATGAGAATTGTCAAGATTGCAGGTCATCTTAAAGGGATAGTGCACCAAAAAATAAAATGTCTTTCAAAACTAGTATGACATCCTTTCTTCAGTGAAACAAAAAATAAGTGATTGTTGCAGAATGTACAAACTGCTCTTTTACATTCATTGAAAGTGAATGGTGACCAAAGCTGTCAAGCAGACCAAAACTGTTCCTCACACAAATCTACCATGGCTATATTTTATTTATTTATTTTAGTATTATTTATATACTATTATAGTGTTGTATCCATATGAATTAGCTTTTATTGTTTTATTTTCAGTTTACTTATTATTTTTTATTTTCTATTCAGTTTTAGCTTTAATAATAAATGTAGTTGAACAACATATATCAGTGAAACAAATTTTATAGTTTTAATAAATAACAAGAATACTTGGAATATAGAGTATGAGTCGTATTTCATCTTTTTTGGATCTTGACAGCCCCTGATCACCATCCACTTTCATAGCATAAAACATTGCAATTCAGATATTCTGCAAAAACCTGTTTCATGAAAGACCAAAAGTCGAAGAGGTTTGTAATGACACAAGAGTGAGTAAATAACGACAGAATTTTTGGGGGAACTATCCCTTTAAATGTGATGTGTGTGGTTCTCATTATACACGAATCATCTGTTTCTGAGTTAAAATGAGCTTTGTCATTGATATTTGGTGTATCCTTTTCAAGGACCATCGTCTACACGTACAGGTGAGTATTTTTCGCAATGGGTGCAACTGTAGTTTTAGAACCAGTAGATATTCAAGTATACCATCACAACAAATGCAACCAAGTGAGATTTCAAATTGACAAACTTGCGAAATAACGTTACCTTTTCCTCTCAAGGCCAGCAACCTCTATCACCACTGGTCCTGTACTTCCCATCAAAGAATTTGGAGAGCTACGCTTTGGTGAACTTATCCCACTCCATGAACCTCCAATCCTTCACAGCCTGCATGAACGTCCGTATACCACCCATTCAATACCTCACTGTGCTGTCTTACTCCACTTCAAATGACAATGAGCTCATGATCACTTTGGGCTCTGAAGTGGGTCTCTGGATCGGAAATGAGTTTGTTAATTTACCATTTGAACGTCAATCACATGACTGGACAAACTACTGCTTTACCTGGGCGTCACATAACGGAGGGGCTGAACTGTGGGTGAACGGACTGGTCGGGGAAGAACGCTACATTCGGAGAGGGTACACCATTGGGGCTGGAGGAACCCTCATTCTGGGAAAGGATCAGGATGGCTTTTTGGGGATCTCAGAGATCGATGCTTTTGTAGGCCACATGACTGATGTAAATATATGGGATTATGTGCTGACTGCGGCAGATATTGGTGAGCAAATGTTGTGTGATAATGGCAAGGTGAAAGGGAATGTCCTGAGCTGGGGAAACACTCGGCTCAGTCTGTATGGAGGAGTTCAGCTGCAGGCTGAGCAAGTTTGCCACTGAGTGAGAGAAAGAAAGAAAGAAAGAAAGAAAGAAAGAAAGAAAAAAAAAAGAAAGAAAAAGAGCGCCACAGACTCAGAACGTTTTATATCGAATGTCAATATCAGCAATATTAGCTCTGCCAACTTGAACTGTATACTCTCTCCCAGGGGGATAACGGCAACTTAAAGGGACGGGACAACCAAACATGAAAATTCTGTCTCACCCAAAAGAAGATTTATGAAGAATATGGGTAATCATTGGTAAACAGTTAATGGGCCCCGAATAGTATGGGGGTAAAATACTGTGGATGTCAATAGGGCCCATCAACTCTTTGGTTACCGACATTCTTCAAAATATCTTCCTTTGTGTTCAACAGAAGATAGAAATTCATGCAGGTTTGAAAAAACTTTAGGGTGAAACAAAATTTTCATAACCGTCCCTTTAAAGTTGAAATTCTATTCTATTCTAAAAGTCTATTCTATTAACTATATTCTATTCAGTATTTTAGTTGAGCATTTCAATGTATTTTTACCCAATTGAATAATGTGAATCATATCTGAAGAATTTCAATGAACAACATTTGCATTCTTAACATTGTGTTTTATAAAAACATAATGTTTTATACACAATAAATGGTCAAATTAAATATTGACGTCTGAATCTATTTCAAAATATATTACAATTTATACAAAATATCTCCATATTTTTACAAAATGCACTTACAATAACATCAATGAAGAGCATGTTTCTAATTTCTGAAATAAAATTCCTGATATCTGGAAAATAAATCGTAACTTTTTTTTTCTTATATTCCTTAGAAAAGGAGAAAAAAAAGCAGTAAAGCAGCTTTGTGCAGAAACGTACGGGGGGGGGGGGGGGGACATAAAACTGATAATTATATAGGTTTATATGTAAAAGATCAGATCATTTGACCTTTATAACATGCAAGGTTAGTTCAGATTGTAAAATATGCAAGACTTTTTATGATAAATGTAAAAACTTTCTTTATATATTACTTTTTGTCTACTTCATAGTTAGTTACATCACATTATTCGATTTTTTTTTTTGTATAAAAGTTTTACAAAAATATGCAAATCTATATTAAAACAATTTGAATACACAGAGTACATTTCTAAGAATTTGGTGCATTTTAACCTAACCATTTGTTTATTATTGTGCATTTGATTTTTAAATGAGACGTATGCAAGATTGTGGCCAAAACCGGTACTGCAATCACTTCAAAAAATCCTGGCATGAGACACTGAACAGTAAAAGTGTGTCAAAACAATTTCAAAGCATTGCTTTGACAAACGCAAGCTGGTGTCTTTGACTCCCTACCCATTCAGAAAAATGAGCTTTTCATTTCGTGTCCGCTACTTTCTCCTTCAGTCTCTTTGATCTCAGAGTCTTCACCCTCTAACACAATTCCCACTTTGTTTCTCTTAGCAAAAAGCTGACTGGTCTCCAGAAAGGTCTTGTTTTTAGTCTCTGGAATGACAATCCAGATGTAGATAAATGTGGCGAGACAGACGCAAGCAAAAATGATGAAGCTGTATGCACCCAGGCCTTTCTGTAGACACAAATATGGAACACATTTTTTTTTTCTATTGGATGATCCACAAGTTTTATAACGGTAAATTAGGATTTGATTAAAGCTGCAGTCCGTAGCTTTTTTGGGTAATAGAAAAACATTTTTGAAGTACAACTCACGTAAAGTTGATAGTTCCGCGAATGATTGCAATTGCAGATTTCAAACAGAGATGGCGACAAAGAGGAAAACCTGCGTACTGCAGCTTTAATAAGTTAACAACTTGGTGCAATCAATTGGTGCATTACTGTGAATGTTTGTAATGTTTGACCTCTGACCTCTAGAAAAGGGAAGATCAGGCCGACAGTGAAATTTGACAGCCAGTGAACCGAGCCGCCCACCATAAAGGCTGATGGTCTGGAAGACTGCCGGAACATCTCAGTGGTGATTACATTAGGAATAGGACCTGCGAAGGGATGCAGCATAAGCTCTCAAAACTAGATGTTCTATCATCAAACACTTCATCTTTCTATAGGCAGCGAGAAAAAAGATTGCTTGAAGCACTTTGCTGATTTTACAATCTGTTTTACAGCCACTTTAAAGCACTTCTCTTACATTCACTCCAGGGTTTTAATGTAAAATCCTAGAATCTGCAGCATAAATCTTTTGCCATTCCCAATCCCCAGCAAGGAATACAATCAAATGAAAGGGAGGGAGTGAATTTATTGAGATGTAGCGAGCCCCCCATGCATCCGCAATATGCCCCGACAGGATTGGCGTGAACTCACTTGGGCCAATAGCATGTCCGATGACGTAAACAATGACACAAACGATGCTGAGATAGGGTATCCAGTCCATAGTATCCTGTGGGTGGAATGTGCAGCAGTTATTCAAACACATTTATAGCCTTGCATTTCACATAGACCCAAGAGGCAAATTTGTCAGGCCAGCAGATTCATGGCTCTAAAATTAAAATCTCTGTTGGGACTGAGCTTTTAAAGCCATCTGTCTATAAACAAGAATTTATTACAGTCATATAGGTCACATAAGGAAATTCACTTTCTCGGTTAAAGGGAATTAATAATAACAATGAGCCTATCTGAATCTTTTGCACTTGTTTTAGGGGTGAACTGAAATTAAAATTCTGATCGATATAGATGATATGCAATGGACAATATCCAATAAAAGACCTATATTAAAATATTACTATTAAATTATTAAGACAATACTGTTTTAAATTTAAATATATTTTAATATTAAAATATTATAGCAAAAATATTTGACTATTTAAACAATAACATTTTAATTGTATTTCTATATTAATATTAAACTATTATGTCATAATCCTATTAAAATATTACTTAAAAATTATTTAGACAATAACATTTTTAATATTAAAATATTATGTCAAAATAATGTCAATAATTAAAAAAATATTACTGACATTATTAAGACAACGATATTTTAAGTTTAATTAGATTTGAATACTAAAATATTAAGTCTAAATAATGTCATAAAAATATTACTCTGACATTATTTTGGCAATACTATTTTATTTTTAATAATATTTTAATATTAAAATATTGTGTCAGAATATATAATTTTGTCTAAATAAAAAAAAACCTAAAATCAATCATTTTAAACACATCACAACATTGATGTGATGTGTTTAAAACAAAAATTACATTTAGAGCATTATATTATTAACTTTAATCTTAATGTAAAATCAAGGCAAACACAAACAGGGCACACAGTCATGGACAATTAAATATACTATATTGCCATATATTCTGTATATGTATATATATATATATGTATATATATATATATATACTAAATTTATAAATTTAGTTACTAAAAATGCCTAATATTGGCAGATAAATCATGCATACCTAGTTTGTATTGAAGTAAGTACAACATTATTATACCTGGAAGTAGAGCGCTATGGTCAGGAGAACACAGGCTGCACAGCAGATGCCAAAGCCGATCAGTAACAACAACCTTCTGCCAGATTTCTCCACTATGAAAACCTATAAAATTACATTTTTTACACATGTTTCTTTTTTATGTAAACAAGGGCCATCAAGAGGGGGCATCAAATTATGAAGAGCACCAAAAGTGGCTTACAGCAGCTATTGTCATGAAGACATTTACAGCTCCTGTTCCGGCTGTCACATACTGAACGTGATCTTCCCTCACTCCTGCTGAGCTATAGATGCTGTCAGCATAGTAATAAATCTGAATATGGGGTTCAAATTAGGGTTTAGTTGAGCATAAAATATTTGAAATGTTTGCTTTCTGAAGAGAAATGTGTTGAAAAGTATTTTCTGTAAGTATTTTCTTACGGCATTAACTCCTGATAGTTGTTGACCCATATTCATGAAGATTACAGACAGCAGCTGCCAGCGCAGTGAGCGGAAGGTGAAGAGGTTGAGCAGAGAGAGTCGACCTTCTGCTCGCTCGGACTGATCCTCAACATGCATCTCACACAGCTCCTCATCCACATCCTCCCAGCCTCGCAGCCGCTGCAGGTCTAAAACACAGCACAACATATCAGAGTGTTTGTTTATGCAGCATCACAAGAGCAATAACAGAATATTTGAATATCAAATATCAACACTTCTTTGGTGATATTCAGACCAACAGCACAGTCACTAGAGAGATATTAATATTGAGTATTTTGTTGGTTACGTGGTCAATTTTTGCTCTGATCTAAACTAAGCTGAAGCAAGTAAGCCATTGGGTCTCCGAGTTACATTATTGGTGTAGCGTCCTTATTGATTCAGTGTTTTTGAATGTAGGTTAAATTAATGTGAATGATAATAATGCACTCATAAAGAGAGTCACTTGCTTAGTTCCTAAATGAATCAGTGTTTTTGAATGGATCGGTTGGATAAATGTGAATGATTCAAAGGGGTGGTGATGGCACAGTGAACAAGACACATGCCTTTGGTGTGAGAGAATCGGGTTCGAATCCACTGTGAGACACCAATGCTTCCCTGAGCAAGACACTTAATCCCTAGTTGCTCCAGAAGCGTGCGACCTCTGACATATATGGCAATTGTAAGTCGCTTTGGATAAAAGCGTCAGCTAAATGAATGTAAATGTAAATGTAATTCAATGACGCACTCATAAAACTAGTCAATTGCTGTTGTAAACTCTTTACATAAGAATTAAACTTGATAAAGCCAGCCCTACTCCATCATAAAACCTCTGCAATCTTGATGATTTGAGCGTTGGTGCACATGCCGCCATGAAACGGACATTTTCTTTGTGTGCTTTGACATGGGAGACCAAAATAACTCCTTCTGTACCTTTCCTGGCAGTTTTTTCATCCCCCTTCTGTATGAGCATGTAGCGTGGGCTCTCAGGAAAGAAAGGCAGAAGCAGTAGCTGAATGGCAGCTGGAATCCCCGTGAGACCCAACATGATGGGCCAGCCTAAAGAGAGAACATTACACATCACCATGAGCAGCAGGGGCACGCTTTTTCCAACTGTACTCAGGAAAACAGCACAGCAATAGTGGCAGTTTTTGCACTGTATACGTCGAAGAAAAGTGCGTTACCTTCTTTATTTCCTAGGATATTGCGAATGCCAAACACTTGGGCGACAAGGATGCCAATGGTGATGAAAAGCTGTGGCACTATCCCAATGGCCCCCCTGTAATTCTTGGGAGCGATCTCTCCCAAATACATAGGCACCACATTGGAGGACAGGCCTAGAGAACACAAGTCACACACTGTCATGCTTAAAAAAACAGTATAGCTTATCCATTCTGTTATTCAACAGACCTGCACAAATGCCCACTAAAAAGCGGGCAACAATGATGATCTCAAATGATCCCGCCACTTCACTCACACCCATCATTATAGCAGGAACAATAGAAAAGATGTTGTTGAACAGGAGTGTGCCTTTTCTGTAAGCAAATGACCTGAATGATGATTGGGATACAATTGGCAAAAACAACTCATTTCCTCAATTCAACTCAATTACCTTCCGAATTTGTTCACCAATGGGCCTACCATGAAAGATCCGAAAAACCCACCCAGAGGGTACATGGACACAGTAACGGACCACAGAAGGGTCAGGAAACTGTCTGACATTGGACCATAACGACTCTCATATATTTGGCTGTAGAAAAGCTGCATCTCCTTTTATCAGAATATCAGAGTAAGTTTCAGCCCAGGTGAATGTTTAAATAAGCAATAATATAATATAATAATATGCAATAATATAATATGCAATAATATAATATAATATGAAGAGTTCAGATGCAAAAGCCTCTAAATGCCATTTGAAATTTTCTTCTTGAATGATGATTTTTATCAAACTTGTATATCTAAGTTCAGTAATTTCACTTAAATGACAATTAATAGGTAATCCTCTTCGCCATTTAAGTGAAATTACTGAACTTAAATATACAAGCTTGATAAAAATGATCATTCTAGAAGAAAATTTCAAATGGCACTTAGAGGCTTTTGCATCTGAACTCTTCATATTATAATAATATAATATAATATAATATAATATAATATAATATAATATAATATAATATAATATAATATAATATAATATAATATAATATAATATAATATAATATAATCAGTAAAAAGTCAGTACCGGGGCAGGTGAGTTGATCACAGCCACATTGTATCCATACTGAAAAGACGAACCAAACCCAGCAATCAAAGAAGCTGCTGCCAGGATCAGCGTCACCCTCTGCACATTTGCATGAAGTTCAAAAATATGTAAATGCTACTAAAATTCTAGTTTAAACATTAATTTTAAGCCATTGAAAGGTGCTGCAGCATATTTGAAGACAAAAAAATACTGTTAATGGTTGTCTTTCTGAGTATCGAAATGTAAAACAAGTGCTTTCATTTTATTTGTTGCAGAAATATAATATTTCTATAAAAGTACTCACCCCCTTCCTCTCATGTTTCTCCATGTTCATCTCTTCCTTCAAGCTTTAAATCTACAGTATGTTTAGGAAGAACACCAGTGAAAAGAACTGCTGTTTCTGTCTATTGTACATTGGACATTGGAGCCAACCCTGAAATCCAAGGTGAAAGTTGTTTAGTATTAAAACAACAGATATACAGAGATAAAGGTAACCTGGCTACATTCCTATCTGCACCTGTAAAGGAAACCGCATGACATTATGTCAGTTATTGGGGTGCTAGTACTGTACATGCATAATGTAAATTAGACTCCAATTAAAATGTAAAATTATTAAATAAATATAATAGGGTATTTGAGGGTAGTTTGTCTGCTTACTTTAGAATTTAGAAGACTAAAAACAGAAAATCATATAATATCTTTGGAGAACATTTGCACCCCTTATAGGTGAAAACTGTTTATGCAAGTGTACATGACTACAAAAAAGGAGTTTTTGCCTTTACTCAAAATATATATGCCATAATAAAAACAGGTAAATTGTAATTTTATATTAACATGAATTATGATAGATTCTCATAAATAAAGATGATTAATCTGAAACGAATGAGGTGCTTTCAGGTCTCACTGCTGGTTGTCCCCTAAAAGACCTCCATGCTCGATTCAGGACTTCATGCACATCCTGCAAATTAGCATATTTTAATTAAGACCCTATTCATAATTACGATCTCTGGTTTACACCTGAGTTAAGAAAATAATGGTAAATCTCAGCTATGCTTAAAAATGAATCCATTCACTTATCAGAACAAATTCTGGAGTTAGTAATTGAATAATTACTCAATGTCAGGTGCTAAAGAAATAACACTATAGTCAGGAATAAAAGGATTTCCGTAACACTTCAAAAAGGAATATACATATATAATTCTCCCAGTCCCACTACGGCTGAGTTGATCAAATAAGTTGGGAAAAAAATGCTGAATTCAGTGCCAAATGAAAGAGGTATTTTTGCTCAGCATTTTTTATCATTACAACAGGGTCTTAAACCGATTAAAGTCACTATTTCAGGAGACAATATCTTCTATGGCTATGCAATTAAATAGCTGATGTGCAATTCAGGAATATTTATTGAACATTTCTAGGTCGGTAGCAATAGTATAAAATTATAAATCCTAAATACAGAAGGTGAAATAGATTAAATAGACTGACAAAGTTAAATAAAAGACTGTCAAGACAGTTTTGCCCAATATACAGTGTATAATTGAAAATGCAACACTAACAATTCCCTTCTGTAGTAGAACCAATCTGGAATCTGAACATGGACTGCAGCCCTGCACATCTCCACTAATTAGTGACCTCTTTACCCCAGACTGTTGATTTCTACTAAATGTCAATAGATGCTACACTTCATTGCTATTGCACTGACTGCATATGCACAGCATATTTAGGCTAGTTATATCATTATTTTTCATGAATACACAATTGAAATCAAAACAAACATCTAAAACATGACATTTTAGTTTTATTATTTTGTTTTGTTTTGTTTTCGTTCAATTAGTTCATGCGTTTATGACATCAAGATTAGATTATTGTAATGCTCTACTGGGTGGTTGCCCTGCACGCCAGTACAAAACGCAGCAGCTCGAGTTCTTACCAGAACAAGGAAGTATGACCATATTAGCCCGGTTCTGTCATTGACTGTCAACACTGCATTGGCTGCCCAATAAACCAAATATTGTTGATTACAAAGCACTTAATGGTTTAGCTCCGCAGTACTTGAGCGAGCTCTTAACGCATGATAGTCCTTTATGTCTATTGCAATCTCAAAATTCCGGCCAGTTAATAATACCTAGAATATCAAAATCGACTAAAAGTAAAAAACAATATAAATACCGTTCGTTTTCTCACACAAACTGCTTGTTTCGTGTCTTGGGCCATCAATGTGTACTTACATTTACGAGTTATTAAATCATGATTCATTTGGACTTCTCTGTGCATGCTCTTTGAGGTGGTGACCATAGACCTGTATTATATGATTGACAGACAAGAACGGTTTGACATAAAAATATCAAAATTGAATACTGTGGAAACAAAGACACCTACATCTTGGATGCCCTTGAGGTAAGCTAAAACATTCCAAAAATTAATTTCAAAGTGAACTATCCCTTTAAATGATCTATAGGCACATGTTCAAAGTAACATGATCCAGACACAGAGGGACATGATGACTCCGGGTGTACAAGCAAGAGACATCCGGGGTATTTCCTGATGGGCTGCCAAATTGATAATACAGCAGCTATAAAAAAAAAAATGACTTGGAAATTAGATAGAGGCAAATTTCAAATTAATAATTTACTACTTACGCCAATTGTGCAGTTAAAATGTGATTTCATTTCACTGTAAAACGCAGGCCACATTAAAAGAACAATTCAAGTTTTTGTTGAACAGTTGCAGCTTTCATTAACATGACTTCTTCACCTCTTGGCTCAGCTCACTACATTTGAAAAATATCAAACAAATAATGAAATTAAACAACACAATCGATCAAGTCTATTCTGTATTTCAGGCCTACAGAACCACTTTTGATTAAAAGCAGCATCCCCAAACAATGATCAGTGTTACACGGACAGCAGGGGTCTCTGTCTGACCAGTATCCACTCGCTCCTGCAGTGCAGCACTGCAGATCCTCTCATTCCTATTCCTCCTTCAGCAACTCATTAATCAAATTGATTGGACCTCATCAACTTAAACAGAGATCCTCAGCTGTTTATTTCAGCAGGTCGAGGGCTGAACACCCCACTGGGGATTGTGGTAAGGTGTGTGTCCTTACAGTCAAGTCTATGCGGGTTTAAAAAAACTCCCATTTGTCCTCTGCAGTGATACACAGTCATTGCAGATGCCAACATAGCCAGGGCTCTAACATTCCCAAGCGATGGACACTAAAGTGAACACTGGTTCAAGAAAAGGTACACCAAAATCAGCCATAAACCAGAAAATCCCAGACCACAAAATATTATTTTAATCTGAACATGTATCTTTGAAAATAAATCAGGTCTATAAACTAAGAAGTATATTTCAGTCTTTTACGATTTAACATATGACGTCTCATAGAGTGCATTTAAATTTTATGACAAACTATCAAACGGAGTCATCTTTAAATAATGTACAAATAATAATGAATTAATTAAGGCAAAGCAGCTACATTTGCAAATGATGCATATTTATACAAATCTAAGTTAAAACATTGATATTAACACACACACATTGGGTTTGCACATTTTATGGGAAATTTCCATAGACATAATTTATTTTTATACTATACAAACTGTATTCTAATGAAGGCTTTTTAATTTTTTTTTTTTTATATTTTCAGAAGCATCCTCATGGGACATATATAAATGTAAATCCAATACATATTCTTTAAATCGCAGTGGTAAATCTGTTTATAAAGTTAAAGTATCTCTAAATGATACGTGATAATGTGCTGAAGTGACAATTAAGCCTATTAAATGACTGAACAAAAATCAAGCGATTTTTTTTGTCCTAGCTTGCCAGTAAAACATTAAATTGCATGTGTACATGCCAAAATGAATGATAAATGTTTCAAAATGACTGTTGAACTGTTTCCAGTTTCCACTCTGTCAATAAACTGTTATTATGAACTACTAAGTCAACTGACTCTTTCCAACATCCACTTCCCTCAGCCCACATGACCAAACAACAAAAGATCTGCCATTGTTGTGTTCAGCTTGTGCCCTTTTCCCAGCTATCCTCAGAATAGTTCCTCTTCTTGCTAACTGAAAGCAGATCTGGTATCACGCTGCGATAATGGAGAAGTCACTGGTGTATCCTAATTGTGAAACTACTGTAGCATGGACCAAGTCTCTTATAATTCTTGTATTATTAAATATTTCAAGAAGCTCAGATACAGCTCAGGCATGCAATATATTAGCTAACGCCAAGAGAGATCCACATTGACTCAAGCTGAATGTTGAGGATTTTTGGAACATTTTGGAACATTCAGATTCAGATTGTCTCCATACAGACATTATGATCAAGAAAAACCCGGAAGCACATTATTTGATAAAATTAGAAAATTCAACCCAAAATAACTGTGTGTGAGGACAGTCCCAGAATATATGGGGAGCAGTCTCATCAGGTGCACCACAAAAAGAACACTTTTATTATGTTTTGCGCGTCCGAGTCGGAGAAAAAAAAAATGGATGCCACCCGGAAAGCTGCTGTAATGGTAGCACTGGCTGAGTAGCCTACCAGGCACTTACATTAAAAAAATATTATTACTACACCTTATCAAAACCCAGCCATTTGAACTTGAAAATGTTCATTTTATTTTAATGTTAATTTCATGCAACGCAGGGGACGCAGTAATACGAGTGATTATAATCGTCATTTAAAATACCAAAGCGGTTCAAAAACAATAAAAACAATTTATACTTAAGTCACACGGGCGCAGCCATCTTGAATTCCGAAACGGAATTCTTGCTCGGTGTCCTCACGGTTGTCCGACGTCCGAGAGGAGAAATCCGAGGAAAAGAGGCGTGTTGCTAGGCAACGTCTGTCATCCGATAGAACGCACCATTACTCATGCTGATTGAGTGGACCTGTTGATTGTTGATTATTGATTGCTGACAGGTTGGAATGATTTGATTGTGTGATCATCAGAACGTTTTACTCCCGAACCTTGTTAATAAAACATAATTTCTAGGAAAAATGTGTCAAACACAGAGACAATAAGTGTGAATGTAATGGTTTAATAAACAAAACTATGGTAGGCTACACACACAACTAAACTAAGCAAAGATTGTATATAGAATCAAGAAAGTAAAGAAAAGTGAAGAGAGAGAAGAAAAGAGAATGGCAAGATTCCAATCAGTTATACCACAACCTACGAGAAACATCAGAGAATCAGGGTCACCATAACTTAGAAACGCATCTAAAGGCTGCAAACGGGTACTTGCGTTGGGTTTGGTTGCTGAAAGCAGAGTGGTCCAGATGCAGGAGACTCTTGAGATTCTTGTTGATTTTTTCAGGAGTGCGCTGAAGTGTTCGTTTGGGTTCTTGGAGTGGTCCATGTTGAATTCAAAGTTACCTTGAAGATGAAGTTCCCTGAAGGAGACATGAGGATGTTGTCTCACAGGTTGAGCAAAGGATCTGACCTAATCAGATACTTTTAAGGGTCCTATCAGTTCACACCCATTTGGTGAGGTGACCAATCTAAGATGACCTGGAGAAAGTCTTTGTTCCATCTTATATCCATTAGCGTGTTCATAGTGGCATGGAGAATTTGTGAAAATATCCTGAATATCCTAATGCAATTTATCATCACATATTGTACACCATTGATTATAAAATGAAAAGAGGATTATTTTAATACATCATCTTTGGATATCAACATTAGAAGTTACTTGAACATAAATAAAGATTCATAACTGTGTAAGCTGCTTGTGAACAGCATCCTTACTGTTTACGGTATTATATATATATACTATGAAATGTTTTCTGTGTCATTCATGTTCTGAATATTTTGCTTCACGGTAGCCTTCACTTAAAATCTTTAGTCCAAAATTGTTGGATAATAAAAATTGCCACGGAATTAGTTTAGTCCGGTTATAGGACTGTATACAACAGTGAACAGCACATGTTGTCCCTGAGCTCCGTAACAACGTCTCATAAAGGTTTGCAAACTTAGTTTAAATAGTAAAACATTATCCGAAAAACACCTAGCATCTTCGCTAAATAGTACACAAAATACCATTGGTATGCTACTTCCGCCGCCTGACCGGAAGTTGCACATACTTTATTTTTCACAGTTTTATTATATAAAAAATACTTAAGTAACACTGTATCTAAAATTACTCACTTTATTGAATTCAGTTAATATGCTGATAAAATAATTACATGAACAAATTTATAACTACAAATGCTACAATTAAAAGGCACTTCTTCCCCAGTGTTTCAAAGGCATAGTGTGAAGTAACAATACATTTTTTGTGGCCTGTGTCCTAGATGCAAATTTTGCCCAGCTATGTGCATGTGTCTATATACAGAGAAAAAGTGAATAAAATTTAATGAGATTAACATAATACATACATACATACATACAGAAAAAAAAGAAAATACTATCCGTTTTGAACATATAAGTACAGTAATTATGCTAAATATATAATAGATATGTACAGTATTAACTTTGCATTAAGAACACGTGCTTTGTTAGGGAAAAAATCCCTTGTAAAGACACTTCACAGTACATTTGCCATTTTGGTCACTAGATAATAAACTGCTGTATCCTCACTTCCCCTGAGTTACAGATCTCATTTCTATTTAAATGAACAGGAGATATCTGCGGCAGCAGAATGAAAACAGATTTGGAAGACAGAAAGCCTTTCGCCTAAAGTGCTGAGCTAAACCGGTAACAAAAAGTGCATTTGTGTTCCATGCTCTGTGGGTTTTGTGCATGTGACCACAGTCCCCTGTAATCCGTGAAGGCGCTTGGTCAAACAAGAAGGCTGAGCATAAGACTCTGATGTAAGTCGAACAACCACAGCAGAGAGCCATAAAGTCAGAGCTTTCACTCTTGGTATCATACAGCCTTGTGCGTTTAAAGAGAGTTAAATGTACAGGAGCAGATGCAGGATCTTAGTAGCTCTTACTCCATACTGTTCTCCAAGGTTTGAGGGCTGGTGTTTTCCTCCCTGTGTGAAGGCGTATATGCATTTGCCCTGTTCTGGGACACTGCTTCTGAGCTCCAGGGTCCGTCCCAACCTTTGCAGCACAACAGAGCCAACAGTCGTGAACGAATCGAGGGAGTGAACAGCACAAACATGATGCAGTTCGCAGCTCCTTGAAAGGTGTTTCCAATTCCCTATTTAAAAAATGAAATCAGAATTATTGGGTTGCCAAATCCAATAAGGGAAAGTAAAGATAAATGACTTTGATGAAGTACACAAATAAACTGCATGATGCTAAGAAGAATTGAACTTCAGGTAGAAGAAAATTCAGTTAAATTCAGGCTAACTAAGTGGAACCAGGTGACTTACATGCAAGGTCACCAGTACTGGATTGTGCCCTGCAGGGGAGTCAGTCAGCAGGAGCAGGAAGCGGATGGTGCTCCACACGCGGAGTATGATGAAGATGATGGGGATGAGGGTGAGCTTCCTGTCTGCCATGGAAGACAGTGAGTGAGAGACAGGGCTGCTGGTCAGGATGGGACGGTACTCGGACAGGGCTGCATGCTGAAAAACATCACATGAGAATAAAAAGAGCACAAAGAGAGATATTTAATATTAAAGAAACAGCTCACAAAAAACTCTGACTTACACATGACTTATGCAATGTGGTTGCGTACATTAACATTAAGTAATTTATTTGAAAGAAATTAATACTTATATCCAGCAAGGATACTTTAAACTGTCCAAAAGTGACAAAGGATTTCTATTTCAAATAAATGCTGTTCTTTTGAATAGTCTATTCATCATAGAATCCTGAAGGAAAATTCACGTTTTCTACAGCTACTTTAAACTGTATATTTTTTAGTGTACATTTCATCAAATAATGAATTTTTTTAAAAACATTCAAAATTTTACCGACACCAATTTTTAAACAGTAGTTTAAATGATGACAGAATTTTTGTTGTTAGCTGACCTGTCAATCTAAAATTGCATTAAAAGTGGCTGGCAAACCTAAAACCCAAAGTAATTCTAAATCTTTCACATTCTTTCAATTAAAGGATGTCTTTAATATTATTTTCTTTTTTAATTCCAACAATGAACTTTACTGGGATCTTTGATGAACTTTAAAATGTACCCTTTTTACAACGGATTTTTTTCAAAATCATTAAAATAAAAAATCTGTTTATAGTCCTTTAAGTATTTTATAGCTCACCATAACTAAAGATACTTTTGACCTTTTAAGATTTTATTCATTTCCATGACATTTCCAGGCCTAGAAATCACTATTTTATGATATTATTATATTTCCCAGATACATTAACTCACCTATTGCACACATTAAGAGTTTATGAAAATGTCATGCAACTGTCTATGATGAGCAGCGGTGGACTTACTGCTCTGTTTATGTGTATCTTAATAAGGATGTACAAGACTGGCAGTGTGACATAGGCAATGAACTCCCAGATCTTTCCCGTGAGCAGCATCCACAGCACATGGTCTTCAGCCTGTATGTTCACCCAGCACCAGCCTACGGACACTTCAGAGGCATCATAGCCGATCTTGTGCAGGGACAGGGCTGCCACAGTGATGGCGAAAGGAACGCCCCAACTGACAAAAACCACAAATCACAAGATCAGACTGGAAACACGAGTTCATGAGAGCCAGCCTTCTCACACAAAATCTTTATTATAATCTTTGTAAACACTGACTGTCTAAAATCCTTTTTTTATTTTATTCATGAAGCTAAAGGAATAGGATTCTTAAGGGAAAATATTATAAACTGATTATAAATAATCTCTTCTCCATTCCTAAATTCCTTTAATATGTAAAGGTTACCTGTAAATTAAATTAAAGGATTAGCATGGCATATGCATATGGACTTCAACATTTAGATTTTAGGTTTTATTTCTTCAACATTTACATTTTAGGCTATATAATTTACATATATAACTTCAAATTCATTTTTAACAGTACAAATATTACATATCAGATTTGAATTCAATAGCCTAGTATTACATTAAAACGTCAACTATACGTCAACTAAACTCAAAGAAACTGCAAAGGTAAATATAGCATGTTAACATATTAAAAAATGCAAAGTAACGATTGCATGTTTATTAAATATTAATTCATAAATACAAAAAAGTAAGATTGAATGCAAAGACATTGGTTTAATAAAGGGATTTCACTTTTTCCCACACTATTAAAGTGAATGGCGACTCATTTGCTTTTGTGTTCCATTGAATAAAAAGTCATAGAGGTTTGTCATAATGGTGAGGAGTAAATATTAAAGATTTATTTTATTTTATTTGGGTTAACCTTTGCTTTAAAGCGATAGTTTACCCCAAAATAAAACTTCTGCCATCATTTACTCACCCTTACATTGTTCCAAACCCTCTTCTGCAGAACACAAAAGGAGATATTTTGAAGAATGTCTGTAATCAAACAGTTGACGGTAGCCATTGACTTCCATAGTATGTTTTTCCAATGGCTACCGTCAACTGTCTGGTTACCAACATTCTTCGAAATATCTTCTTTTTAGTTCAACAGAAGAAATAAACTCATAGAGGTTTGGAACAACATAAGAGTTAGTAAATTATGAGATAATTTCCATTTTTGGGTGAACTATCCCTTTAAGACCTTCCTGACTGACAGAGAAGAAATGCTTCGAAGAGTTTACCTGATAAGATGAAAATACAGCACCAAGTTGTCGGCCTGTCTCTGGCTGGACTTCACAATAAAAACATACAAGTAGATGGCTATAGCCACGGTCCAGAAGAATGAGCTGGTGTTCGCGAATGTGGAAATTGCTCCTTGCGCAATACAATCCGAAGAATCAGAGTCAAAAATCCGTACAACTCCGTAAAAGTACGAGAGTGCAGACAGAAGGTCAGACACAGACAGATACACGAGCAGTTTTCTCGGTGTTGTTCTCAAATCGAGCCAACGTAGATATGTGCATATAATTAAAAGTGACCCAAAAAACGAAAGCATACATGATGCCAGGATAACAACCTGTTCGTAAACATACACAGCGGTCCGGGTTGCCTCGGCCATAGTTTCCCCGTAGACAACTTACTTTAAATCTACTCGGGCCGTTTGTTAAAAGTTTGCCTTATTTTCAAGAAGTATCGAATCCTCTTGTAAATAAATACCCAGTCCACTGTCCCCCTGACGAAGCATTACCCCGAAAACAAGACGGGCTTTAAGATCCAGCGATGTGAGAAACTTTATAAGCAGTCAAACAGCTTCTTCACAACAGCTGAGGCAGTGAAACAATGTCTTGACAATCAGAACAAATCAAAACATGTTGCAATGTGTCGCCATCTAACGTTAATTATGAAACCCAGTTGCCTTTATAAAACAAACCATACGTACCCCAGCCTTTAAAATCTAAAATGACAAACTTTGTTTTAAAGCTGAACAGTTTCAGATTCCGAAGGCGAAATCACTAGTGCTGGGAAGTGGAACTGATTCATTAAATGACTCGAATCCTTTGAAACGATTCACTAAAAAGATTCATACAGAATGGTTCAGTGATTCGTTTAGTGACTTTTTCGGTTGGTTTCATCGGCCCTGTCCCAAATGGCACACGTGCACGTTCGGTCTTGTGGACTTTTACAATGGCTGCAAAGCGCACCCTTTATAGTCAATATGCGCCCTCAATGCGCACTAGTTTAGCCTATGACTTTTGCCCAAGCCCACACACTTCTTCCCGAGAGTCAAAGCGGCGTTACGTAACGAAAGTGCAGACTCGCAGGAAGAGCTTGGTGTCATTTGTTAATTTATTTATACTGTTGGCCAAATGTTATATTTTATTTGATTGCCTCATATCTTCTCTGGAATTGCTAAAAAACAAAAAGTCATTAACATGTTTAAAATATTTTATGCTTTTTCCTTGTTTTGTAAAAATATATGCTATGTTGATTGCTTCTTCTATCTGCAATAATAATAAAATAATAATAATGATAATAAAAGGTATGGTGGTATTTGGCACAGGGCCACAGTCACTACAGTAGAAGGAGACTCATGAAAACAAACACAGAAAGCACTTATACTGTTATTTTCTTTAATCCTCCAACCAAGTCATTCAACCAGTAAGCTTGTGATGGCTCCAGTTCATTTTAAACATCTGCATTCCAACATTCCAAATGGAACTGCCAGAGAATTACGCAATAGGCTATTAAATGTGCAAGCAATGCGTCATTGCAAATGTTTCTGCAATTATTGACAGTTTATCTGCAATCCCTATACTACACCATTAGATGGCGTAATGTGAACTTCAATCAAGCTTCAAGATCTTGGTCATTTTCTTTTTTTCTTTTCTTTGTGAAACATTTTTTGTAATTTGATTTGTAACTTGCATTGCATTAACCTCATTATATCATTAGTTTTTGGAGCTGTCTTGCAGGAATGTTTGGAGTGAGGTAGCATTCTTTCCCAGTGTGGTGCATAATTTTATTTTAGGCAGAGAAAAAAGGTGAAAAAAAAAGCAATGCTCTGCTTGATCCATTAAAGGGCACCTATTATGCCATGCATCCATAAATTAAATGATTACTTAAATTCTGCCAGTATAAGGTGTGATAAAGTCTAAAAGTGAGCAGATATGATGAGGCTTTCAGGCAAAAGGCATTGTTATGTTAAAATGTGTTGAATAATAAATTCAATGAAAAACATATTTGAGGGGGACTGGGGTAAAACCGTTTATTTTGTATTCTGGTATGTGCATGAATCACATCAGGAGGTCTGGTTAACAAGGCAAGTTCAGTTTTGATCTTTCATCACAGATAATATTTCCAAATAAAACTCCTGACAGAATGCAATTCAGACTAAAGTAAAGAGATAAAATAAAATAAAATTCAAAACAGAATCAACATATGTTTGCCCCCAAAATCGTTGCATAAAAATGTGATTGACAGTGTTGGCACTAAGATCCAATCCAGCAAGTGATTAAACTGGTCTATTGGACAAATACCTGAGGTTATCCATACAGTTAATTTGCTATTGTTGCACTTGCACTTTGATATATATGGTGTCCAACAACATACCTTTTAAAGTAACATGTTTGTGATATTAAATCTGTGAAGGCTACACTGTTATCTCATTTTCAAGGTATGATTTAAAACAGAGTGCTTTAATACTTTGTAAAAGACCTTACTAAATTGATTTTCAGCTTTCCGGACAAGTTCAGACTTATTGCCACACTGATGTGATTACATCAAAAACCCAAGTGAGTTACGGGCGTTTCATTCACCTGCTCAAACCACTCTTTTGATGATCAACAACCGAAACCAAAACACTAATGAAATTCCCTGAAAATGAAACTCGACTTGATACACACAAATTGCTTTAAAGTTAATTTTAAACAGAAACCAGACATAGAGAAATAACACATGACAGTAATGATGCATTCATATATTTTTATCATAAAAATACAGTCTATTAAAAATACATTTAAATTAAATTTATTTAAAAAGTGCACATTATACAAAGTGTCTACATTAATATATATCTATATTATACAAAGTGTTTACATTAATATATATCTTTTATTTTCAAATTCAGATATTTTTACTATCATTATGATGATAATGTATATTTTAATTAATTAACACACTTCATAATGAACATTATTACGACACAAAGTCATCTGAATATGTCATCAGACTATAATCTATATAGGTCAAATATAAACAGATCACAACAAGTTAATTTCAACACTGAAATCTGGTCAGCTGATATTCACAATAAGATGTGACTAAATCACTCCTGATCTCATGGAAAAGAGAAAAAAAAAAGAAAGAGGTTTGATCTAAACTATGACAACAACGTCATGGAAAAAATGACCCAAGATACTGTAAGCATGAATCAGTCTTTCACTTGAAACATTCATGAAATCAGTCGCTGAACGTGTTCAAACGACAGTGACGGAAACAAAAGCTCACACTCACAACTAGAAGAAGAATGAATGGGAAGAGAAGCTTGGTAATAAGTTTCTCTTTTCTTGTCTCTCCCCAGGCTGTAAGTGCGGGTGGGCAGCGGAGTGCGTGAGCGGGGTCGGATGGATGGGCTTCCTAAGGTGATGAGTTTCTGCGGCAGTATACTTGCTGATTGCTTCGTTCTCACTCCACACAACAACCAGCTAAGACACTGCCAAAGAACCACTCACAGCAGCGCCCCTCATCCCTCACTCGCTCGCTCTCCTTCCATCACCTCAGAATCTCTCACCCTCATCTGTCGGTGACTGTAAAGGCTCCTCGTATATGACTCTCCCGTCTTCTCCAGGTGAGCTCTGGACACTTCAATACTCTGCTCAAGGAATGTCCAGAGTTCTTCTATAACAGCCAGGGACAGAGGTAGATTTCCCCTTACCGAATAAGCCTTTGTTCTGCTTTCAGTTTCCAAGAGATGACGGTAGGTGAGAGGTCGCCTGAAAACACAGAAAATATCTCATATTTCCAGTTTATTACACCCCACCACTGCTGCATATGGAACTGTGTGACATAACATGAGGGATGACAGCATAAAAAAAAAAAAATTCAGTCAGTATTTTTGTTTTCAAGTTGAAAGTATTAAAATAAAATATAAAGAATAAAGAAACACTTCTTTTACAAAAAATATGTTATAATATAAGATATTGTCAAATATTATTACAATTTAAAACAACTGTTTTCTATTTAAATATATATTTTAAAATGTAATTAATTCATGGCAACATTTTCAGCATCTTTACTCCAGTCTTTGGTGTCTGAAGTGTCTAATATGCTGATTTGCTGCGGATCAATGTTGAAAAGAGTTGAATATTTTTCTTTGATTTATTAAAAAAAAATAATAATAATATAAAATATATATATATATATATATTGTAAAATGTTTTTACTGTCATCCTTGCTGTTTAAAATAATAATTAATTTTCATATTTATTTTTTATATTAATATTTTTCCTGGAAATAAAGACAAAAGTACTGATTAAGAAATAGATTTATTTTTGCAGTGCAAGTTTCAACAAACAAATTAACCCAAAGTACAAAGGGACAATGATGACTGTATTACTGGGGGTAGAAAGTACCAAAAATCACAGTTCTCATATCTGTGATGTCATTTCGGCATAGCTGTGGGACTTCCAGGTTAGCATTTAATAAAAAGCTATGACATAACCCACAACACTTACCTTCAATAATCACAAGACAGACGAAAACAAGCCCTGAGGAAACACTGACATCCAACACTTTACGAGAGTAACGCTAGCTTGCTAAGACTCCCTCCAATGTAAACAAGCCAGTAAAGCTAACATCTGAAAAGAGAAAGACTCAATCCTCAGAAAAAAAGTTTGAGAGTCCGCCACACCTCAGGGAGGGGAGAGCACACCTTCTTTTATTACTTATGTGAACTATGCTCACCCTCTACACCGCAAATAGAGCCGTGACTCACTTATTCTCAAATAAACTCTGAATCTAGGTTCAAAGGGTTCAGCCTATATTTGCCTGTGAGAATGGATGCATGTGAAAGAGCAAGATCGCTCGTATAAAGGTGTCATGTTTATGAGTTAAATGACTGAGGAGGTCAGTCCCGTCACGTGACGCCGGTCCCTGATTTGTTGTTCACCTACACAAGCACTGTGAAGGCCCTATCTGTTGGTATTCCCCACAGAGCAGCTATTTTAGGCAGACAGCCTTTCTTAAGGGCTCTGCCAGAGAAGAAGGGCCTCTGCTCACTTAGCAAGAAGGCTTAGAACAGAGTGGGAGGGCGTTAGCATGTGCGTGGGTGGGAGAGCGGAAGAGTGAGGAAGAGAAAGTGGAGGCACAATTAAAGAGAAATAAAAAGTGAAAGAGAAAAAGAAAGTGATGAAAAAAATGGCCGTGTGGCTGCCGGTGACAGTTAAATCAGATCAGGGTCTTGAAATGCGGTAGAAGCGCTTGCAGCATTAGATGTGCGCCACACCAGGCTTAGTCACTGTCATCAGACGCTCGAAATCCCATGCTCATGCAATAAGGAGTACTGTGACCCTGCTGAGGCGGGTGCTTGTCCTCTTGTACCATTGCTTTCTTGTGCTGTCTGGTGACAAGTTATGGCAGGTAATAAGTCCACAGAGCTGAATTGCCTATGAAAACAGGTTGAGGTCAAGAGAGGGCTAAGTAGCGCATGTGATATTATCTTCGTTCCCTACTCTCCAGTTCGAGCGAGAGGCACCAGTAAAACCTTTTTACAACAACTGCTGATAGAATATTCCGTTGCGTCCGCAGCGTTATCTGAGTCTGAGCAAACACACCTGTAATTATGAGACAGCCCTGCGCTGACTGCTACAGTACCTCACATGAATGCTGACATCACTGCAGAAACAGGGTGAGGCTTTCCTAGAACTTTATTTATACATTTTACCCAAACTGTTAACAAAAAAGTACATGTTAATATATTTAGATATGTTTGAGGGAATTTCTTTGACTGGTTTACAATCTTTGACTGGAAGAACAAACAGTAAGTGAAAAGTTTCATCGAAATTCCTAGAATTAAAAGCAAAAGCAAAACAAAACAAAACTAAAAAAAACTTAGTGTGTATTTTGTTATGCCGATATATCAATATATACTTGTATGTAAAATACATTTCAGTATTTTCGGTGTGTGTATGTATATATATTATATATATATATATATATATATATATATATATATATAAAACACACACATATGCTTATGTTTTTTTACAGTATATTTTTTGTATTTGAATTTTTTAAAATAATACATAAAGTATTAAGTAACACAAGACAAAAATACTGATTATAAAGTATGCTGCCCATCATACTGTACATCACAATTTCTGTTTTTGTCTGAGTGTTGACAACCTGCCAGTCCTGCTTGGCTGCCTTCTTACAGAATGTGTATATCGCATCAAACATGTAGGTGTTTTGTGTGATATAACACGACAAGACGCATGCTAAGTGACATCCCCAGCACTGGTACATATTACCAGATTTGAATTCTATCAGCCAAAAGCTGTGTCATTAGACCACATCTGAAGACTGCTTTTGAGGAAATCTGATCGGCGCTTTGGACAGAAAAAGATAAACACGCACACATGAATGAACACACAGCTGTCTGACGGTCATTAGAAAAGAGGAACGCTACATGTATGCCACCCAAACCAGCACAGATGCATAAATTCATTATACCACATGCAAGGCCATGTAAAAGCATGCAGACCCTCACATACCCACACACTCTCATACACAAACATACACCTCGTGATCTGGTTTCTGCTGGAGTTGCTAAATTGCAGTGTTGTGTCCCTATGTCTGTCTCGTGAGGCCGACGGCTTGCAGAGGCCACATGATGGCAGGAATTCCTGGCTGCTTTGGGCCTGATGTAATCTCTAATACAGGCTTTCAGGAAGTAGGGGAAAAACATACGCGCATACACACACACACCTGCCAGCTGGCACTGCCGTATGCCTGTACGCCTCTGACACACTTCAGAACCAAGAAACACGGGTGCTGTATTACCTGACAGATCAAATGAATGCATTTACGGGTTTCAAGGTTTGTCTGAACTAGTTTAACTATTTTCTAAAGAAAATACACATTTTGAATAAATGTAGAAGTAGAGGAGCAAAAACTATAGCATCATATTTGACCTAAAAAATACAATGCTTTTTTCACATTTTTGCCAAAATACTGTATGTGAAAAAAATATGTCAAAGCACTCCGAATGGAGCAATAGAAACTAATTTAAAAACGAAAACAGTATATCAACAAGGACAGTTCAAATTTTGAATTCTAGAATCAGACACTCACCTTACTGCTAATCTAGCTGACTCAAGGTCTCATCGTTTTCAGGACATCTGGATACGTTTCTGTAAAAGAAGCACTTTGTTTTTTTACCACCGTCTGCGCAGTTGTTTTCTCGCTCTCTTTCTCCCACGGTCGCGTCACTTTGTCTATAGTACAGCAGTCATTTCATTCCTCTGACTTAATTATCTTAAAAGGCAAAGATGATTCTGGCAAAACTTCACATGTTTTTTTCCTTTATTCAGCTAATTAAACCATTACCGTGCCAACAAGTTGCCCTCTGTGATTTTATAGTTGGTATTTCATTGTTAGAAATAGTAATATAATTAAATTAAACATTATTATATATTTGTTTAACAACAGAGTGAGTGTGAGTGGACTCACTGGAAAACACAGAACGAGTAGAGCTCACAATCAATCAATAAATACAAATAAATAAATAAATAAAAATTGCTATTACGGTTAGAAATACATTTTTCCACTACAGGGAAAATACCTTTATATTTTATGTTTATTAAGAAGCCATATTCTTCAAACCAAATAAAATACACTCATTGTCATTATTTTATGTGTAATATTTAAATTAACAAAAATGGACAGACACTGAATAAATTTGATAAATTAGGCTGTTATAGCTATATATTTAGATTAATATCAAACCCTTTCATTTATATTTTGTGATAAAATATATAACTAGAATATTAAGAAATATACCAGACATTTTCAATTTTTGTCACATTTAATGCATCATTAAGTTCTGACCCTTTATAGATAATGTTTTTAAGAACAACTGCTTTTCAATGTTCAGTACTGAAAATAAAAATATCAGGGAAACTGTCATTGGGGACTGAAAGGTTTGTTTACCAAAAAAAGCTAGAACCTCAAGTCTTTGCTAGGCTATATGGGGAGACAAAGTGCAAACATTGCATTTCTAAACTATCAGTTTACTCAAGAGACTGTTGATCAATGCAAGCTCTATTTGTAGAGCTAGAATACATTAATAATTCACACAGCCCACCTTTCAGCCAGTAAAATACATCACTTTCAGCACACTGATGCTTCTGGCAACAGCAGAGTTGCTTACGAGTTAACCGCTGGTTCAGGGGAGTAACCAACACTTTAGTGGTCACCAAATACTTTTACAGTGACATCAGTAAGTACATAAAACAAGACTGGTAAAACATCTTACCTTTTGTCTCAGGAGTCGTGTCATCAGAAGAATCAGCCGTGGTGAGGTCAGGGATCTTCCAGAGAGGGAACAGCCAGTGCAGAGACTATAAAAACATCCGGTCAGTCAAGTTCATATGTGTGTTTGTATATGTGTTTTGTACAACACAAAAGACTGAGTCACAAAGGGATTCATTATTCTTCCATTGCTTCAGATTGATTTTCTCTATTTCTAAGGTCAGCGGTGCACCAAAGGTGATGCGGGCAAAGTAATTAAACAATTTATCAATAATCTCTGTGAAAATACGCTTTCACTTAGACACATAGGCGGAAATAATATGACTCTTAAAGAAATGAATTATTTGCAAAGTTTGCTAAGAGAGACACCAATGATTTTTATAGCCATTCCATTTCAGTATTTTTATTTCAAATATATATATATATATATATATATATATATAGGGCTGTCAAACGATTAATCGCATCCAAAATAAAAGTTTGTGATTACATAATATATGTGGGTGCACTGTGTATAATTATTTTATATATATAAATACACACACATGCTTGTATATATTTAAGAAATATTTTCATGTATATACTGTATATAGATTTATATGTAACTTATATGCAATGTAAATATAAATATAACATAAAACACAGTGCACCCACATATATTATGTAAACACAAACTTTTATTTTGGATGTGATTAATCGTTTGACAGCCCTAATATATATTTTTGAAATATATATATTTCTATACAAATAATTATTTTTTCTCATTTTAAGCATGAACTTTACTGGATTTTGTTAGATTTATGCTTAAAACAAGAAAAATGCTAATAGCATAAGATTTCTTTTTTATTCAAGATATATTCTCTAAAAACAAGCCTTGTTATCTCACAGTTTTGTTTCTTTAAGATGCTTAGATGGTTTTTAATGGAAAAAAGATACATTTACTGATTACGAATATGTTATGCAGTGTATACTGTTGTACTTTTAAGTAGGCCTACGCTGTAATTATAAAAAAACAAACAAACAAACAAAAAAAGCCATTTAGAATAAAAGCACTTCTATTCTTGCATACGATACAGCTGAGAAGTGACACTTACCTGGGTGTTGGATGTTTGAGTTCAGTCTGTCTCGATGCTGTTTTCGTCTTCACCGGTCAGTTGGGTCTTGGGTGAGAAACAGTTACTGGTGCTGACCACAAGGCTCAACTCCCTCCTGACATGCCAGTACAAGTCAAGGCATGTTCTTGTTGCTCTCTGCAGCGCCCTCTGCTCCACCACTTCAACAGGGAGAACTGGAGGAGGAGCAAAGAAGAGAATAGAGAAGAAGACTTAGCATTAGAGGTGACGGGACAAATCAGAGACATCTCTCTCTCTGAGGTCACTGTTGTGTAATTACAGGCATGGTAAGACATTCACTGCGCAATACACCACATGAATAAATGATCAGGCAGGATGTGTGAGTAAAGTTACGTACAGACACGTGCAAGAAGTCAATTTAGTAACATTATGGTTATTATTCAAAGTGTTACTACCCTACATTTCATTCACATTTACACTTGTTTGTCTGCACAGGCATTTCAACCCATTCACGTATCCTAAGTGGGACTAAAGATTCAAGTAAAGTTTAAGCGTATAACAGAATTGCCACAGTAGGATTTCCTATACTATTTTATAGGTTATTTTGTTAAATATTTAAATTAAAAATGTTTATTTTGAATGATAAGATACAATTAAGAGAGGGCATTGCATAAGCGCAGTACAATTAATAAATATTAAAACTTTCTAGATTTTCATTTAAAACAGCATTAGAACAGTGAGGGTCTTAAAAACTCACTAGAGCTAACTTTTAATCATGTACAATAGAGCAGATCTGTTTTTATCAATGACACGCAGTTTGTTCCCGGAGGGATCTCTTCATGGGACCCTGCACTGCTCCCCCTGGCGGTGAAGTTCTTACTGCACCAAAGTTCAAATTGATGAATGTGCTGGTCTGCTTTTAGGATACAAGCTCAGTTTGAAATATTATCTAAAATATTTTAGATGTAATAATATATTAAACATTCAGATTAATAAAAACATTTTTCAAGTAAAATAATAATGTATAAAGTAATATATGCAATTGACAAATTTGTATAGAATAAAAAGAATATTGATAATAACATAATTAATAATGCAATTTAAAAAAAAAAAGATAATGGTAAATACATGCCAAATGTGCAATTTCTAGGTTGATCTACTGAAACAAACCATTAAGCTTTTACACAATTGTTACACAAATATTCACACTTACCCAAATCCTCAGTGGAATACGCAGCCACACAAATGATTTCTCGAATATAAGCCAGCACTGACTTATGTAGTAATGAAACACAAACCCTAATTAAAGTGAGGCACCAGAGCAGTAACGCAGAGCCCAACGCTCTAGAGAAACTTCATCAGCAGGCAGAGTTGCAGTGCAGCGGCACAGCTCAGCTCCACTGTAGATGTAACTCTGTGGCCTCTCTCTCTCTCTCTCTCTCTCTCTCTCTCTCTCTCTCTGCAGTCTGGTCCACTGTATGTTACAGTACTAGGACTGCACTTCACTGGAATGCAGCAGTCCAAGACTGATGACCTTACCAATAAAAAGAGCAGAGTCACAAATGCCAGCGTTTCCATGCCGTCCTGTAGCTCACCTTCACCCTTCTCACTTACCCCTCTTCTAATTATTTCACCCCACTCTGAGGTGGTTGAAGTAACATTTTGTTCTGACATGTACATTTCCTATTGGTTAAGACCACGTGTAGTGTCAGTCAGAGCTGACTGATGGCTTTTTGACACAGATGCTGCAGTGGACGTTAAGAGGGTGCCAAATATAACGCCGAGCGCGCTCACTGGCCTACTCTCTGCTGCATTGGACCCTTGTACCATTTGAGTAATAAAAAAAACAATCTCTTTACGAACCTGAAGTTTTGCTTTGCGGATGGCTTTAAATTCCGAAGCGTTGAAATAAAGGAAATCCCTAAACTTCTGCCTTGTGCAAATCTACTTGCAACACTATGAGAGATTGGAGGGCAAGTGTGGAATCCTTACTCCAGCAAGATCAAAGCTTGCTGCATTGATTACATCATCGGAACTAGAGCAGTAGTATGGGACAATGCACCATTGGGTTGGGGGGTGGGGGGGTATTCGGTGGGGGAGGTGGTGGAGTAAAAGGGCTAATCTAGCTGTTCTATCTTTTTTTCTGTCAGGAGGGCATATCCACAATCTGGGCTGCCAAACTCCAGACAAGAGCAATAGACTTCCGTACCATCCTTCTATTAACTTGCTTTCTCCGTTTCTCTCTCTCTTGTCGTCCACGTGACCTAGCGTAGCTGCCTGTCTTTCTCGCTGCTGCCACATCTTGGCAGTACTGCAGGAACTGTGCTGCAGGACACTGCAGGGTATCCGCTCTCCCTCTTGTTTTTACTCTCAATCTGTAACTTTTCACGAGGAAACATTGATGAAGAAAAAGTAGCCGTGTGAAATCGTAAGGCTTGTGCGTTCTGTATCTCAAAGCAGATCTCTGGAGAGATGGGGGAGGAAGAGTAAGAGGAGATGGGAGGATGGGTGTTAAAGAACATCAGGTGAGTGCGGCAATATGCTTTTTGGCTGAGCAGCAGCAACCTCCTCCCCCCACCCCCCTTTGGTGAGCGCCATGAGAAACTGCAGTTTCTCCTAATGATGTCAGGCAGCGGATCTGACAGTGATATATCACTCCTCACATTCCTGCTGTACACAGATCTAATCCTGCCCTATAGCATGCAATATACACAACCGCGGCCGTTCTTCAACGTTCAGCTGGGATGGATGGGTTATGTGCGTAACCTGAGTTGAACTCATCACCGCAGAGTTTGTGTACTGGTAACGAGCGCTACGTTCAAACTGAAACCTACACAGTCCGCTAAAGTGTCATGACAAAATCCCTTTACATTTCAAAGCGCTACATTGAATAAACGCAAACGTCACGCTCATTAACAGTTCAATCTAGGTAGTTAAACTACAACAAACAAAAATAAGCCCATCAGATTTCAATACACTACACAGAATATATTTCCCATGTATAAGCATGCAGGTAGTATCTACAGTTGAGTAGAGAGTGAGCTGAAGCAGAAAAAGACCTGCAGTGAAAGAGTTATGAGTCCCCCCACCGCTTTATTTAAGTCACTCTCTCTTGTTCTCGGACGGGACGGTTTGTAAGAGTGCAGCACCGTCCAACAGAGAGTGTGAAACACACACGTTGAATCTGAGACTCTTAGGCACCAGCCAAACCCGTTCTGTCAAAATATTAAGAGTCTATGGTGGTGACAGTTGCTAGCTGACACGCTCGCACACTGCGTTCTGTCCTCCCTAGGCCGTCCTAAAACGTTACTTCCATTTTCCCATCTGCTGCAAGTTCTTTAACTCTTTCCCTTCCTGACATTCTGGATGCAAGGCAAACTGCAGCATCAGTACTTCAAGCTACACAACACAACAAAGTGCAGCAAAGTATGGCAGCACCCAGAAGCAGAATATCTCTGGCCTACATCTTTTATTTATGCCTGCAGGCGTCATTTTTATACCGGCACTGATCCTAAATCAAGCTCGTGCGTCTTTTCGCCCTGTGCTAACTAAGTGCTCTTCCTGGTATCCCGCATGCAACTGCGTGTGCAAAGATTATCAGTAAGACCGGCCGGCATTGCTTAGGGAGATGACTGCCGAAGTGTCATAGCCTGACTGCAGAAGACCACTCATCATGTAGGTCAATGCAAACGGGTCCTTTAAGACCTAAGAGCAGGTGAGTGGATAATTCTGCAATCAGACAGAAACATCCCACAAAGCTGACCCCCCGAGATTGGGTTAAAAGTTCAACATCCGTCCTCAACCCCCATAGAGAAAGACAAACTTCCACATACTCACTCAGCCTCCGCTCCTCTCTGAGTCTAGCAGGGATGATGCACAAGCAGCCGTGTCTTCTCCTCCGGTGCTGTAAAGTTGACTGCAGCATTGCCTGCTGAATGGAATGACATTGTTCGCTCTCTCTCCCTGCTTCATTCTCCTGCTCTCTCTCTCTTTCTATCTCTTGCTCCCCCTCCTCCTCTCTGCGCGCTCACTGGCAGTACAAACTGCACAGCTCAGCAGTGTTCTCCCACTGCCGCAGCAGCTCCTGCATGAGCCTTGCGTATCCGAGTGTGCCGTGACTTTTAAAGGGGAATGCAACCTCCAGGGTCAGTGTGCGCCTCATCGCCACCCCCCTGCACTCCCACTATCACGACCCCCCACTATCTCCTTCCCCCGCAGCAGCTGGTCAAGACATTCCTTAAAAAAAGGTAGTGTATGGGGTGGGGGGGTGGGGGGTTTATCGAAAGTAACTCAATTCCTTCGGATTAAACGGGTGACCCTTTTTCAAACTAAAGTGTGCTATGCTCGTAGTGCAGTGCGGACACCATCCATCTTAGCTGCTGACACTGGCCCAAATCCGCCTATGAGGCTATAGCCAATTTCGTCAGGTGGGTTTAAAAACGATGGTTGGTGAATGAACTGCAAAAATGGCTGTGAGAAAATGTTTGTACCAATGGTGATGAAAAAAAAACTGAAATACAAAACCTGGATCTTGAGAAACCAGATCTGGGGGTGTTTGAGGTGTACCGTTGCTTCTATTGCAACCAGGAGGTCAACTGTCTGGGAGTTAGAGAGATACATTACCAGCGGTGTGCAACATTATATTGGACGACGGACCACGAGGCGTTTTGACAATCAAGATGATTGAGGCGTCATGTTCCATTCGCCATACGTTCTAAATCCCGACTTTACCGTAACTTCTAACAGTTTGAGAGGGCTGGCCCGCTCTGTGTACAGTAAATCAGTCGTAACTCTTTGCATCAGCAAAGCTGGAGCTGCAACCCTGCAGTGGATTTTCCCCCCATTCCCGCTCTTATTCCGTAAAGCACAACGCTTTGAGTTCCAAAGCTTTTACTACAGTACTACTGCAGAAAGCTCAGTGAGCTACAATTACGCCTGTTCGATGAAATACTGGAAATACCCGATCAGGAGTGCACTGGTCAAGGCCGAGCTCATAAGACCATGACCTCTGGATAATATATAAATGTCTGCAGCATGCTTGGAGCCGATGAGGGGGCTTTGTAGAAAAGGCAGATGTCATCATAACTGTATTGATTGGTGACTTGTGAGTTTGCCCAGTGGAATAGAAAGCGATCGAGCACAAACTCTGTGCTGATCTCGCACATCTGCGTGGCTGTTAGCGCACATTTCAGTTTGTTTTCCAAATCGGTTAGGCACTAAAAACTCAAAAATCATATTTTGGGAAGTATTAATGAAACATCCTAAACCTTTCACTTCCACACTGAGCCATTCAAATGATTTATGGTGTTTATACTTTCCTCTGTCTCATCACAAAAAAAAAAGATACTCATCATGGACAGAAAACCAGGATGATTGCATCTATTGATGCCACTGTAGAAAAGTGATAGACTGATATAGATTCATATTTTACATTTACATTTTTTTCTATTAACGGATGCTATTATCCAAAGCGACTTAAATATGGAATATAACATCAGCAATTCATCATATGGAGGCAGTAACATGAGAGGTGCGCAATACAAACATTCATGACTGTTTTTAGAGATAAAAGTGAGAAATATTTGAACTGTAATTATTTATTTGTTTTTTGTTTATCAGCTGATATTTGGCCATTTTGACATTTGCAGTTTAACATTTCTTGATAAAGTCTTAAATATTGTAAAAAATATGTGTTTGAATTAATATTTTTTTTAAAGATGACGTTGATCATGTTAAAGAGATATTCCACTTTTTTGGAAATAGGCTCATTTTCAACTCCCTCGGAGTTAAACAGTTGAGTTTTACCGTTTTTGAATCAATTCAGCCGATTTTCAAATATTTAGAAGAATATCAGTAACCAGACCATTTCTGGTCTCATTGACCTCGATAGTAGGAAAAAATATATACTAAGGTAGTCAATGAGACCAGAAACTGTCTGGTTACAGATATTCTTCTAAATATCAGAAAATCGGCTGAATGGATTCGAAAACGGTAAAACTCAACTGTTTAACTCTGAGGGAATTTGCCTATTTCCCAAAAAAGTGGAGTATCTCTTAAATTCTTTTATAATGCAAACTGTAAAAAATTATACAATCAATAATTTATGACAACATACTGTACGGTTGCTTTACATTGATGTAACTCATCAAGATTCAAATCATTTTTAAAATCAGTTGAATTTAAGTTGAATTGACTTAAACATTCAAGTTGATTATACTTAAAAATTTAAGGCAGTAACTTTTTTACAGTGTATAACAAATAATATGTAAATATTTTTTCTGCTTTTAATTCAATTTAATTTCATTCTTATGCCATTAGCTAGCAAACATCAGCTGATATTTGTTCATTTTAACATTTGTATTTCAAATATTTCTTGATAAATATTGTGTAAATCAATCTGTGTTTAAATAAATAAGGTTTAAATATTAATTTGTTTTCCTATTAGATTATTTCATATTTAATGTAATACCATTTATTCATTAAACACTTGCATTTACTGCATAGCCAACTATTTGCTAAGCATTTCACAAGAAACATTTGAAATATGTATATAATAGTACATCATCCATCCGGCCCTCAGCCACCCATGCTCAGAGATCATCATCAAACTCTCATATTGAGCAACCACTAGTTTGTCCACATGCACCTCAGCACTGCTGGTGCGCTGCGTCTCTCCCCTGAGCATCCTGTGCTGACTTTGACACAGATAGAAATGCCTTCACCAGCATCTCCTTCATGAGCAGTGCATTTTGGTAATGGCATCTCCATTGATAAATAAAACATGAGTGAAGGGCACTTTTA